ACCTTCCTAAACCCTGATTGACTCTTACTGACGAGAGTCCATGCCAGCCCTAACTTTTCAGACATAACAGAAGTCCCCCAGTTTTTAAGGTTTAAGGATTGAACCTTGAGAACTTCATAATTATGCCGCAACTTGACTTGTCCCGAATGACGCTTGGTCGAGCTGATCGAGTTGCAAGGAGGTCGCAACATATGTCTCTACGGGTAGTATAAGCGACCCGAGGTGGCCTTCTTCCACAAGTTCAACGACTTAGACCAGGCCTCAGTCGGTGTCATACCAATGTGCTTTGAATCTCATTTACGGTCCGCGACTTGATAATACTTAGCATATTTTACCAAAGACAAGGAATCACATTGTCTCGAAATCGATACGCGGCGAAGAGTGTTATGCCCAAACGACCTCTTTAGATGTTATTCGTTGCGCTTGACAGCTAATCTGTTTAATGAAATGATTTTATTCTGACAGAAGTGTCTAGCGCGCAATAAATGTCAGCCATGCGCATTAAATGCAAGTCATGCTGAAATAACATTCCCTTTTAGAGCATTAAATATGGATGAGGGCGCATTTAGTGTGGAGGAGATAATCGAGTCATTGCTTGGTTGTTCCAATAGAGGGAAGCATCGATTGACATTCTCGAAGCGTGGCAGTTACTTCTTCTCTCAGATTGATGACACGTGGTCGCAATCAATGGCAAGAAACGTATTCTGCCCAAGCGTCGTTTACCTTAGGGAAATCAATCATTGCTTCCTCCCTCTATAAAACCTCAGGCTCGCCTTAAGCTTTGTCACAAACCTCATACTTTCAGAGAAAGAACAAAGCTCTCAAGAAACCAGTCTCCCCATTTTCTGTGCACCTTTTATTTACGGCCGAAATTCAGCTCCCCATAGCCAGGAGCTAAGGAGGATTTCTCTTTTACTATTTTGTAGATAGCTTGTCTTGACGATAATGGTGGGTGTGAACTATTTGGTAAACCTTTGCGGTGCGTGTTTATGGGCAGTTGTGAGAAGAAGGCTTTTTCTTTCATAAAGAGTAAGAATGTAGGGCACAAATCCTTGGGGGTGGTCTCCAAGGGTATTTAGGGTTTTTTTTTCTAGGGTTTAAGGAAGGTACATTAGGGTTTCTTTTGTTCTTCCACGTCGTCGTGTGGAATACTGTATGAAGACTGAGTTATCTCTGTGTGTTGCCCCTGTTTTAAACCTCAGAAGCAATAGATGCCTGAGCAGTCAGGACAACTGATGGGACGAGCTCGCAGGCCCACGACGCCCTAGCGGGTCCTGTGCAAGAGATTCTGTCAGTGGCTACCCGAGATGAGATACAAAATGCAGTGAACCAATACGCACTTAGCGTGGACGTTTACCAACACAGAACATCTACAGCTTGGAATCCCCCAAAGGGAATGGTTCCGATCTCTGAGGCGATTTTCAAATGTGGGGCATTGATACCTTTTCACACCTTCATTAGGTTAATCCTCGATTACTTCGAGGTTGCACCACTGCATTGATGCCCAACGCATATATGATAGTTGTTGCTATGTATATCACATGTTGTGAGAATGGCCTCGGCCAGTTGACTACGCTGGAGCTTGCATACTCCTATTACTTGAAGAAGAGCAAGGACAAAGACTCTTTTTACCTCTCGAAGCAATCTACAATCGAGAGAGGCATATTTGGTTACGGCAGTAATGTCGGGGCCTATGAAACCAAATTTTTCTTTTTTCAATATGATGGCGTCTGCCAATTTAGGGAACCTAGTAGGTTTTCCCCTTTTTTACTTTGCGAATTTCTTCTTTTCCTTTAGTCTTTGCTTTCTAACGAACTTTTCCGTCTCTTTGTAAGAAACAAGACGACCAGGTTGTCGACTGTGACTGATTTCAACCGAATCGTAGCATTCGGTAATCTACTCGAGCAAAGTCACGACGCGAGCCTACTCTTGACTACCACTAACCTTAGGAAATATGGTTTCTTCAATTTTGAAGCATCTCTAGAACCCTTAGTTCGTAAGTGTCCGCATGCTTTTAGAAATTCTTTCTTTTGCATGCAATGAGCTTTTTCACTAATCATGTTTCATGTAGCGACCATGCCACCTAGAGTCCCGAGACTGACGATAAGGACTAGGGGGTTCGTTTTTTCCCAGGTTGTCCCGGCTGAGCCAACCGAGGCGATCCCTGGCGATACCCCTATCAGAGGGATCACTCATTGAAAGCCAAATTCAAGCAGAAGGTATTGTTCAAGCATAGCTGCAATTGAAAGCCATAAACATGTAGATAGGATCTTCCTTACATAATTTGCATATTTCAAAGATTAGCAAACGTTGAGGAAATTTCCCTGCCTCGTCTAGAACTATCTATGTTACTGTTAAATTCACCAATAAAAAGTTTCTTGATTTCATAAGATTGAATCTGAGGTGTGAAAATTATTGTTATACTTCAAAAATAACTAAAGAAAAATATGTTAAACAGAATGAATAACAACCGACATTTGCACTAGTTTAACTAAGTTACCCAGTTCAGGAGGGATCTTGTTCCAAATTGTTGGAGCCCTGCATTGCATATATCAGAAGAATATAACTCTTTAGTAGTCATTACTTTTTCATAATTCATACATTTGTAAGATAAGTATTCATAAGTTTCCCATGATCAACATGCTTTTCAAGCAGAATTTATGGATGAGTGTAATTGCAGGTTATGTACAAGTGCAACGGCTTCAATTGTGATTTTGAGTTTTCCTAAACATAGCATGTGACCCATTGAATCATATGACACATTTTGGTTTTTTATCTCAAAACTTCCATTTTTTTTTTTTTAAGGCTAAAGGGTATATACAGTAATCAATTTCAAAATAAAAACATTTTGATCATCATACCGTCATCCCAATAAAACTATACGCGATTGATGTACGATAGTGGGAGAAGAATTAAAACAGTGAAAATTAGAGTAAGAAATTGATAGAATGGGAGAACAATTTGAGATAATATTGTCAGTCTTCCTTATTCAATTAGTAATACTATGTGAATCAATTTGGATATAAATAAATTTGATTTATGAGAGAAAGTCTATGTGATGATCATATATATTATATTATTGGTAAATTATTTTGTATTATTCAATCAGTCAAAGCTTCAAGTCAAATCCAATAGTAACAAGTTCCAGCCGAGTATGTCAACATGATAATAACCAGGAAATTATAAAGTTAGAAAATGAATTAACAAATTCGAAAATTGGATAATATGCCATTATAATTAATCACGTATTTATAGAGATATTATTAATTAAACTACAATATTTTCATGAAATGACAAGAAAGGGATACAATGTTTTAAATTGTTCAATTTAAGAACACTCAATAATTGTTACATTTTTAATATTTAAGGTAGGTAATTATGAGAGGAAGAATGCTAACAAGTAACTAACATAAATTTATGGACATACATATACACATATGTACATACACAAAACTTATATCGATGATTTCCTTCAAAAATCTTAAATACTAATATTAAGTATCTACCCTTTAATTTAAGTTTCTTATTTTTTGATATTAAAACAAATATCTAATGTTTGAATCTCTTATACATATCATTTTCATCAATTTCAAATAAATATGATTTATCAAAAATTGTAGAAATGTGTCTTCCAGAATTCACTGGGAATATCTAATGTTTGAATCTCTTATACATATCATTTTCAGCAATTTCAAATAAATATGATTTATCAAAAAGTGTAGAAATGTGTCTTCCAGAATTCACTAGGTAAATAGAAATCCAATTTTTTTGTTTTTTTTTTTAAAAATAATTATAAACTTCTAAAACAAAAAATGGGATCTTAACATTTTTGTCCTTAACTTTTGCGGCTATTCAGGCCCCAACCTTTCCAAAAGTGACAGTTTAGTCCCAAGAGCTAAAAGACGTAAATGCTTTTTGAATTCAGTTGACAATTGAAGCATATATAGAAACTTTTACTGTCATATAATATCCTATATAGGTGGCCTTTAAGTGAATTTAAACTTTGCGGTCATGTTGGACACAGAGTCTTTTACTAATCATCATATATATCAATATTTAAATCTAACAATGATTTCTTAAGAATAGAGCCATTGATAGAGAATCACTATCGGAAAATCAATTTGCACCGAAACTAGGTCGTCACCAATTTGCATCGCGGAAGGCTCAACTTCCAATTTGTAAAGCCACAGAGAGAGAGATAATTATAGAAAAAGAATTAAACGTTAGAAGGAAAGCAACTTACAGCATGGAGCATTCTTATTGCATGGGAAACTTCTTTGAAGACAGTTCCATCCGAGAATATTACTAGAAGTTGTTTTGCATCTCAACCGCCAACACCCTGTCATATACTCATTGCTGGCTGGAATTTTTTTTTTTCTTTTTAATAAGGGAAAGTTAGAATCCCAGATATCAAAACATGGTGGCACATTGTTAGATTCTGAAATTAACATAAGGTGAGAAAATGTAATTCATCCTTTTTTTTTTTTTTTAATCGAATCATACAATTAAACATTGATCTATTAATTTTGTAGGGCCTACATATATTATTTTGCAATTATAATAAATTTATTTTAGATAAACAATTAAGTTTCCATAAAATAGTTTAACAACATACAAGGGATGTGTAGAGAATAAATTAAAATATAATTTGAAATTTTAACAAATCTAACAACAAAACAACAGAAAATAATGGCCACCTGCCATGGTGTAGCTAGCTTTTCAACTCACTCACTTCAATCTTGATAAGTGATTTTAAAAAAAGAAAATAAAAAAAATAAACGAAACACCAACACATCACTATCACTGCCAATAAGGGAAAATTTTGATATTTTTTAAAAGATAATAAATATCGATTGCTAACTGAATTAAATGATTTTTCCAAGGTAAATGAACGATGTCCAATTTTTAAATATTAATACTTAAAAGCTAAGAAAAACATAATAAAGATCCCAAATCAGGAATTATATGCTTGAATTATAGAGATTGGAACTTTTATACATCTATATCCAAACCTTACAACCTACATATACAATACAACATTTCATGCCACAAAAATCACATCCTAAATTACAAAAATTCTATCAATCACTGTAATCTTACCATGTATAGCAGCAAATTCTCGAAATTGTACATACTGCTCATACTTCCCATATCCAGAAATTCCAAAAGACATTCCAAATAAGCTAGCTGCAGACAAGATATTACAAGAACAAGAAACATAGTGAACTTTTTTTCTCTTTACATCCAGTACGATGGCCATCAAATTCATCATCTAATGTTATTGGCATACGAGGATAACTTCACAACATTAAAAGTCCTACCATAGCTTCGAGGATAACAATCAATAAGTTAACTAGTTACATGGATTTTAGTGAGCAGAAGTAGCAGTATTATACACTCAGTTTCAGCGAGCAAATAAATTTCTCACCTCCCCACTGCTATCATGTCACTGAACCGAGCAACATTTACTGGAGAGAGCAACGGATCAACTCCAGGGCTATCATCAGTTGCATTTTTACGTTGGCTCTTCTTTTTGCTGTAACTTCTCTTGTAGAAGAGGATGTAACAATATCTTTGTTCAAAAGGCTATTTGTTGTGTCCTTAAAAACCCCAATCAGTCAAACAACTTGGCTTTGAAGAAACAGTTTCCACTTCGATCTCTCCAGCAAGCATGTTAACGACACATGACATTAGTGGCACTCCACTTATTCGTAAAGCTTTGATTTCACTGAACTCTGCTAAATTGGTATCTATCAGCCCCAAACTTTGGTTACTTTCATGAAGACTCCAGGCCTAGAAATATAATATAGACCATTCACAAAGCGTAAGTTTTTGCATTAAGGTACATTAGAGAAAGAAAACAAAACAAGTAAAAATTCAAGTTTATTCTCTTTACCCATTCAAGAAGATAAATTTTTTCCCTATCCAAGCTAGTATCAGAGTTCGCTCTTCCACTCATAATCTCCAAAGCAACAACACCAAACTGAATACATCAGCCATTTTTGTCAAGTGTCCACACATTGTTTACTCTAGTGCCAGATAGCCACTGCAAGCAAATGAAGGGTTTCTCAAGGTTAAAATCCAAAAATAAAGTTTGGATATACAGATTGCTCTCACGGTCATTCTTATCGATACTTGTATGTTGAGTGTTTGAAATACTCGCAACAAAATCTACTAGATATTTTGAAATACTCAGCAGCACCTCCTAAAATGGAGTATTAAGGAAGAATGGCAGTCAAGGAATGATTGAAGCAGCTTACCTGGTCCCTGCAACTCTGGTGTTGATGTGAGTTTTAGTGTCATCATACAGCTTTGCCAATCCAAAATCTGATATCTTTCAACAGAGTTTTGCATCAAGTAAAATATTACTTGTTTTGACATCTCGATGTATGATCTTTGGCCTAGAGTCCTCATGAAGATATGCTAGACCTCTTGCACTTCCCAAGCATATTTTCAACCAGATAGGCCAATCAAGATGCCTCTCCCTTCTTCCTACATAAACATAGCTGCAATCATTAAGATCTTCCAAGAGTTATTAACATTGATAATTGAGGAATCACCAACAATTTATCTCCAGAAAGGACTTGGAGCTTATTAAAATAATGTCAATCAGCTCTTTGGAAATCCTTTCCCTACTCTTGTACTAAATGCATTTTACAGAGCAGTGTAAATATCTCTCTTTATATATTAAAATATTTGAAAGTCATCACAAATGTATTTTGTACTGAGAAATTTATTGTTTATAACTGGTAGTAAATCATAGAAGAGAAATCACATGCAGTGATTTGGAGTTGCTTGCAAGAAAAGCAAAGTAGAAAATTTTAAACTAAGGTTGATCATCAATTAGCATCTTCATACCAAACAATAATTGATCAAGACTTTTGTTTTAAAGATACTCATAAACAAGGAGAAGCCTAGTTCCCTCGATGCAGCAACCATCTAATTGCACAAGATTGCGATGTTGCACTGCAATTATGGTAGCAATCTCATTAACAAACTTATTTTTCCCTTGGTGGGATCCTATTGAAAGTTGCTTCACAGCTAATACCCTTCCATCAGAAAGTGTACCCTTTAGCACTAGATTTATTAACATAAATCATAGTTGCTCCATCCTTGGTGAGTATCCAAAAGCTAAAATTCACCTATTTTTCCTGTTATACAACATTTCAACCCAAGTTCCCAGTGTACTATTTATCGTTTGTAACTTGTAAATGTAAGATATAAAAGCTACCTTTTACACAGGTCCAAATCCTCCCTGGCCAAGCATATTTGGACAGTCAAAGTCTTCAGTTGCAGACCTCTAACTCAACATAACTGAAAATTTTTAGTTTAGGTCCTATTCCAAGTAGCACTGCATATTGAAGCAAGATAAAAGAGTACATAACATTGAGGATTTACATGACAAGAGATGAATTACAACAGAAGCTTTGCCTATTTCATGGAATATGCCATTCCTAGTTTTGAAATTAGATATTAGAAGCCCATATATTGTATCTGTTATAAGGATGAGATATTATAAATCTGTTATTTATGTTTCTTCGGTGCACCGAAACAAAATTCACATTTATGCTACACCTATATTCTGGAATGCTGAAGTGAAATACAAATTCATTTATTTTCAAAAACAAACTTGGTGTCAGAGATTTTACAACTTCTACTTTCTAAAAAATCTCTTTCGCACTCTTACCTTCTGCATCATCATCTCTTTTTATCCTCATGTGAAGAATTAGAAATATCAGTATCAAACCCAAACTTCCAAGAGCTACAGCAATACCAACAATCAACCCACTCTTCTTCTTTCGTCCAATACCAACAGTTGGTGTGAAATCTGGAAGGAAAATTCAGTATGTCTATCAGAAAGCATTTAAGCACGTTTATTGTAACTCATCTTATACGGATTCAAAAGAATCTCATAGTTTACCTGGAATGACACTTAAGAGCTGAAATTAATCGCCCATAGCTACCTCGGTCAGGTATACAACAGGTCCCTTTACCAACCCAAAATAAGTGAATTTGTAGATAGTTCTCAGACACATTAGCATTAAATTTCTTTGTAATTGCTTTTCTTTCCCCACCCGCTTCCCTTGATATGCCACAATCTTTTAACTAGACAGTTCCCTACAGGATCAATTAGGAAAGAAAACAGATGAAATTGTAATAGTCAGACTTATATATAATAAGGGTATGAACCAAGCAGCGGACGTTTACTTGAATATAGATATCAAAAACACGCCTTCCAAGACTCATCCACTTTTGTGAGCCTTATTACCAAAAACTGTCTCAGCAGAGGACAAACTTACACTGTGAAGTCCATTCCCCAGACCAAGGGGCGGTTGTTTTACCTTACGAAAATTAATTTATAAACATCTAAAATTTTAAGCTTTAGTGAAAGTAATTACAAGTGATTGATTAGTAATTAATCGTATTTGATAAAATATGGTTTATATGTATATTTTATTATAAAATAACTAAAAATGATACTATATTAAATAAAAGTATACTATAAAATTTTAAAATTAAACAAAGATAATGTGGTAATATATTTAATCAAATTAACTTATAAGCAGAGTGCTTATAAGGAAAAAAAAAAAAAAGTACTCCCCCTTAACTTAATTTTTTTTTGCTTCTAAACTCAATTTATAAGCTCAAAAAAGTTATAAATAAACAGGTCAATTTAACTTTAGAGTTTATAAGCTAGTTTGATCAGCTTATAAGCTTAGACACCACCCCTAATCTAAGTGATCCCGAGGATTGCCTTGAAGACTGATAAAGCTTCGGGCCTACGGTGCCAATCACTTGCGAGCCAGTATTTTGAACATTGAGTGTTAAATTGTCCATCAGAAAACAAACCCGCATCACTAATTGCCAATTTTTCGGTATCAAGTATAATACAAGAAACTCCACCAAGACCATAGCTATCGGCCTCACGCACTATAATATCAACTTTCATTTCTTCACCACCACACTTGATTGCAAAACTTGAATCTGCAGTTGCAAAAATACACTATGCTATCAATTTGGTCTAGTTACCCCAACTGGAGCTGAATTAACAAACAATTTATAAAGCTACAGTAGCATCTATATTTAAGCAAAATAATGCAGGGAGAAAGGTAAATTGTTAGTACACTAAATTTTAGAAAAATAATCATACATCAGAAAGAAAGACGCTTAAATCAAAGTACTCAACTCTAGAATCGATAGAGGGAAGCTTTCACTAAATTTACAAGTGAGTAAGAGAATCGACACTGAATAAAGCACTTGGGATTTGACGAATTAAGTTTTTGAAACTCAAATCCCTGCAGAAGTAAGAAAACAAGTATTCAGAAAAAAAAAAAACAGACACACATAAACGATAAGAGACACACTCTAGCATTACAATACTAACTTACAGTGTCTGTAAACTTGGAGACAAGGGTTGTGTTGATGGGAAAAATGATCATTGCAAACTGAGCTTGAAGATCTTAACAAGAAGCGAAATTAAACAATCAGATATTCTTTCAAAATCGAACTTCTCTACTCTCCCTTTGATTTTGAAAATGAAATAGAACGGCAGATTAAGAATATGGGTAATTTTGGAATTGATTATAATACATATTATAGATTAATTTTCTAATAAATTTAATTAATAATGGAGCTTATAAAAATATTTACTAGGGTTTAAATACCACCACTCAAAAAAAAAAAATTTCAAATTAACCCATATTAATCCAAATGGATCGTGAAATTATCAGAAGAAATGGCGTTGTGAAGAAACACTCAATTGATCATGTTTTAAGAGGTATTTATGATTTTTACGTTTTGGCTTTAGGTTTAGATTGATTTTGGTATAAGCTGATTCTTATTCTTTAGCCTCTATCTACTTGGGCTAGTGGATTACAAGAATGCTAAACACACCCAATCTCTTTGGAAGTACACCACTAAGGTTAATTTTGAGATAATAGTTTACAAATGGGCACGTTTCAGAATCAGTTGAGGCATATTTAGTGATCCACTTCTTTGTTTTGAGCTCTACGTGAAAATTGGAAAGAATTAACTTTAAAAAAAAAAAAAAAAGATATATTTGTTTAAAATCAACAAAAAAGTACCCCCAAAAAAAAAAAAAACCTTTAAAAAAGGAGCAGTTTCTTCATATACAAATAACTAAGCTTAATCAAAAATCAAAAAGCACTTTTAAGAATTATTTTTTGGTTAAAACTTAAAAGAAAGAGTAAGAGAACGTACCTTTTGATAGGATCAGTAGTGGCAATTTGAGCAGTTGATTTTTGAAAGATGAAGAAAATTCAGAATAAATGAGCGAAAGATGAAGAAGAAGAAGATGAATCAATTTGAGCAGTTGATTTTTGGGCGTATCAATTTGAGCAGTTGATTTTTGGGCGTACTTAGTGATTCACTATATATGTAATTGCAAAATTTGAACAATTTTTTTTGATGTAATAGCAGAAAAAAATTATGAGGTTTTCAAAATAAAAAAACTCTCCATGCCATTGAAAGTCGTTAAAATTTATACTATTACAACTCGGGTTAATAAATATTTCCTCCAACTATTTATTACAATATTGACAACTTGACATTAAAATTTTTTATTATTTAATCAAATCTCAGGGGATTAGTATCGTTAAATTTTGACTATTATCACATTTTCAAATAAATAAATAAATATTTCACTTATAAAGTATAAATTCTCTCCAATTAAAATATTCGTAATTTCATCTTCACAAGATTTATGTATTCAGAAATTAGGATGAATTGTTAAATTGGATACTTTTTTTTTTTTTTTTGTCATTTAAACCTGAGCCCAATTTGAGCATTAGCGCCAAAATCTAAAAACAGAATAAAATTAGACTAATTACTAGTTTTAGTCAACAACTAATTGATAATTTTGATAATTAATAACATAATTTTCTATTTAATTAACTAATTACATGTTGGCAACATGCTTGAAACCCTCCCTAAGTATAAAATATCAAACCAATCATTACAGAAGAAAAGAGAAAAAATCAAAGAAAAAGGAGAAAGTTTGCTAATCTTACATAAAAGTTAAGTTCTCAAGGTTTCCAAGCTCTTTTGGGGGAGGGAAAGCAGAAAGTACATTGTGGCCAACCTCTCTAGCACATGAAAGAAAAAGTTATAACAAAATCAAAACTCATGTATAAAAAATAATCATACATAATCTAACCTAGGTTTTCAATCATAAGGGTATTTATCAATATTTACAAATACTTCAATTGAGATAAATTTCCAATAAATGCAAGCAAGAGTCTAGTGAAGTAATTTCGTTTGATTCTACTGCAATGTTAAACAAAAAAACTAAATCAAATCTGATTTAATGTCCATTAATTAGGAACGATGAAGGTCAAATTTGACTTATACAAATCAAACGCAGGAAAATGAACGGGAAAATCCATACAAATTCATCAGAAATTGCAAAGCCACTAGCTCTTCTGGAATCACTCTTTTTATGTCCAGAGCAAATACACTCGTGCGAAAAATAAAGACAAGTTTCAATAATATCTCCTCAAATTTGATCTGATTATAGATGCAAACTCTCTTGCCTTAGGAAAAATACACACTTGAAGGATAAATTGTATGCACAACTTTAGGGAAAGTTTTAATGAAAAGTTAAGATCCATCTAAAACATGAGAAATAATCTACACAATATAGCATAAACAGTTCAATAAAAAGTTATGAATAACTCAAAAACCAATGCCAATACCACAATATTAATCCAAAACTCAATCTCAATCTAAGTGAATATAATTTCTCTATACTTGAAAAAAACCTGAAACAAGTTAATGTGAAAATTCCCCTAAATTTGGTAGAGAGAAAAGAGATTATAGCTTAGTGATGTGGCAAGTTGAGCCATTTTTAAACGAATAGTCACATTTGAAAATCCGAAAAGTGGTGGGTGAATTCCCCCAGTGGTGCCAAGGATGTTGCAAATCCACCCACCACAAAAATGAAGTGTTTCATAACCAATTTTGATGGAATTTTCAACTTAATTTTGTCCCTCTTTATTTAGCTTTCTCCTGCACAGCTTTTAAACAAAATAGAACATATTTTGCTAAATGGGGTTCACTTCAATTGAAGCTAGCTACTCATAAACTAGTAAAGTTTAATATTTCTTTAAACAATTCTATATTCAATAATTAAAACAAATAATTCATTTATAAAATAAAATACACACGTAAAAGAAAGGAAGAGAGAGAGTACCTTCATTAGGGTTAGTAATTTGAGCAATGGAGTTGTGAAATACGAAGAAAAAGATGAAGCAAAAGTGGGAAAATCCTAAAGAAAAAAGTAGCATATTGGAATTTGTAAAGTTGAAAATAAATCAACTGAAAGATAGATGCATGGAGAATCAAGCATATCATACTATAACAAGTATAGTCATAGTTTAAAAAATAAATTTCAATCAAATTGAAATAAGTAAGGTAGAACATGTTACCTTAAGCCCTTAGCAACCTTGGAGCCTCTTAATTTCAAGAGAAATTAAGCAAAATAGTATCCACACCAAGGGAAGAAGAAATTTGACCAAGAGGGAGATTTAGGGTTCTTAGAGATTTTTCTCTACACAAAAATTGATATATCATTTTCTTTATATAGAAATCCTTGTAAACAATTTAATAATTGTTTTGGACTTCCTTAAACAATTCCATAATCGTTATGAAGTTGTTAAACTTCTTTAAATGATAACATTGGATTAACATTTAATCACAATTAACAATTTAACTCTTAAATTGTTTACATAACAATTTAACCCTTAAATTGTTTACAATTACAACCCCTTGTAAAATCCAATTTAATATAAAGAAAATGTTTAATATAAATAACTTTATTACCTTTGGTAGGTGCTAGCCAACCTTGGATAATCAACTCTCTTTGGCTATTTCTTCATTCTCCTTAGTTTTTATGTGTGACCTCTTAGGTTCACTGTGGCCTAGCCGTGGGCCCAATATCACAGTCTATTTCGATATGTTTTGTCATAACTCTTTATGAACAAAACTCCCACTGATTATGGTAGGCATCTAGCAATGCTCCATAACCCCTAAGTCACAATGAAGATATACTCCAACGAACCTTTTACAATCATACATGTTGTATAATCAAATCCTTCCGTTGTCTAATCCCAATTAAGAATGGATTCATGGTATGTCAAAATCCTTATCTTAATTTTAATTCAATACATATGGAACGTGTCACCATGAAACAACCTTTCATGTAACATTTTATATACCCCGGCCGGAGATTTCCCTTTTCCAATGTATCTTGACATTTGTCTAGGAACTTGATATCAATCTATACCAAGTCAACGGATCCCATCTTGACTATCACTTGTCCTCACACATAAACAACACATGGCCAAATCGGCTTATTAACACATGGCATGATTAGCCTCATGTTTATACACCATATGAACCATATGCGTTTATGCAGAATCCAACCGTGATATCTCAGGTCTAAGGATTAAAAATACCCTAGTACGATCTTATGATAAATCATTGACTACATTTTAAATGTCCATGTGATTCATCATAAATGGCCATATTCGATAAACAGTTCACTAACCGCGTATCCATGCTAATGCCCTAGTGATATAACTTTTATAATCACCCACACCAATACCATCACATGATATTCTACGGAGGCATTCAGCATGCCTACTATGTAATATTATTGCCCAATTAATATTACCTATGTAGGGAATACTTTGATGATTTTGATCTTCTAAAGATTTGTATCATCCGGACATTTCACATGTAATACATATATATAAATGAAGCAATAAACCACATGTGAAATAAGAACACTTTCTTCTATTGATAAGATAAAATGTATATACAAACTATACACATTCACATATATATACAAAACATAATGCCTCGGAACCGATGACACGATTGGTTCTTAGGGCATACACTAACAAAACTCCCACTTGCACTAGAGCCAATCGTTGTGGTATCTAATACCCATCTTCTCAAGATGA